GAAAAACCAAAAATAAATTTTCCTTTACTTTTTTCCCGCTAATTTCCTACTGCACCCAGGCTATAATGCAAGTTGGTTGGTTCGAGTTGGATTTTGGTCCGAGTTTTGGTTCAAGTACTAAGAAGCTATTTGTAGTAGGCCTACTGGTAATTATGTTTTTGTATAAGCACTTCTATTCAACGTAAAAACTAGACATCCATTATCATCCGATCATTACCATTCCCACTGCTCATTCTCGTATTTGTTCAAACCAGGGGCTGAATAGTGTGTAAAACGTTAAAATACGCTATGTATGTGACGTTATGACATTAATGACTAGTGCAATTATTGTATATTATTATTAGTAGTAAAATGTAATAAAATCAATTATGGATTTGTGTAATTGGAAAAACCCCATTGTGCCCATAGGCGGTGTAACAGTGATAGTTACAAAAATAAATAACCAAAAACAACACATTGTCAAAAAAAAGCACTGTTTCTTCATTTAATTCAATCACTAATGATATTCTGGGAATGTAATCAGTAACCATTAACAATAATTTGCATAATTTAACAACATAGTCTTCTTTTCATCAAATGAAATAGACAAACGATACCCTAAACCAAAATATTTCAGCAATTTTTAACGCATCTAACTTCGTTAATGAAACAAGCATACCAAAAACGCCAAGATAAACTGTTTTCTATCTTTCGATATTCAAACACAATATGTCATCCGTGACAATAGACCCTTCCAGAGTGTCAATCAAACTTGACAACCGACCAATCACAACATGGCCAGGAATATGTGCGTGTGTATCACAAAAAACTCGTGTTGTCACACAAACGCACGTGTTTGCGTATGTTTTTGCACTCGTTTTGTGGGACCTTAGCTACAATAATAACAAGGGGCGGGGCTTAGTGTAAAGTTCCATTCGAAAAGCATGTTACACTTCTGACTTACTTAAATCATTTCCTCCATGCTTTGAATGCTTGTTTTTGTTAAGCTTCCAGTACGGTGACGAAATAGTGTAACAGAATATTGAAAGAATTAATAGTAATAAAAAAAAACTCCACATACTCTTTTAGTATGATTTGTTCTTAAGAACAATTTGTTGGGGCTATTCTTCCTCAAAACAAATATTTCGACATCACCAACACACACAAAAAAAATTCTTAATAAAAACCCTCCACATATATCTTCATATTAAATGAAATAAATATTAAAATAAAATACTCGTAAATGTGGTGGGTATTTTGATCAATATATTTTCTTTATTAAGAAAAAAGAATAAACGATTGTTTGCAGACGATACATTTTCGTTCAAATTGCTTTCGTTTCTAATCTCAAACGCAGCATTTATTAATTTTTAAATAATAGATTAACTGCAATTGAATGGAGCTAGTGCAGTATATTGCTAGCCTTTCCCAAAACTGAATGAAAATTTTATTTGTAAGCAACTACTTTCATACTTTTCCCATTTCTCTCGTATAATATTAATGAGAGAGTATCTAATAAGGTACCAACATATTTAACGGTTTGTTTAGACATATATTTACTTTGGCTACCTGGTGGTGACTGTGCACACCAGGTACAACAATTGAGTTGTTTTTTTGTTGTTTTTTTTTTGGAAAATCTTTTCCCATACTTTAAAATTAGGAGAAATTACATTATTATGAAAATAAACAACAATAGAATAATAAACATAATGATATAATACCAACATGTAGGTTGCTACACGATTCAGGTGCTGTACAACAATAAAATTATAATTATAAACAAAATGAGAGTTGTGCAGGTGTTCAAAAGAACTGAAAAATATGAGATAAGTTAACAAAACTATGTAATAAAAAATCACATTGTATTGGCTAAAATTTAAATATAAACAATGAGACTGTAAGTCAATGGCACCATTACCCAATATATTAATCACCATAAAATAAATCTGTTATTTCCAAATCTGAACCCTCTAGTGGAGCTGTGGCCTGTTGGTTAAAATGCCCACCATCCAATCCCTGGGTCCTGGATTCAAATCCTGTCACATCAGGATTTGTTCTCGCAACTAAAATATGATTCACACGAGACAAAATTTCACATTTTAAGACATATTATATGGGTGAATCAGGTATAAAACAACTACACTTGTAATTTCTGTAAGTATTTTTGTTGGATGTGTAAAGAATTAAAAAAAAAAAAAAAACGTCTTTTGGACTTATTTAAAAAATGTTTCTTTAATTTATTAGAATCCATACACACCTGTGCATAATTATTACCTTATTAATTTAAATAAATTTGAATATGCAGGTAGATAGTCTGGAAGTTCATGACATACATTTTCTGCATATTTAAATACTCTGCATAAATAATCAGATAATTGCAGGTGGGCTGAGTCTGAGGCATGTCAGATTTTCTATGTATGAAAGGTGGGAACATTCTTTTAACATATAATAAATAAGTTTTCTAAAAAAATATAATAAATCATAATAAAGGAATTTAAACTGCATTTTACCAAATGATATAAGGGACCTGTGTGTGTGTGTGTGTGTATATGGCATATTATATATATATATATGTATATC